CCTTGTGGAACCCCACGAGTAACGTCCATAGGACTGGAAAGCGAATCAGAAACACGAACCGATACGGTCCGATGTCGGAGAAATGCTTCGATCCAGCCAAGCGCGAGGCCCCGAATACCGTGGTTATAGAGTTTCCTCAGTAGAATGTCGTGATTTACCCGATCGAAAGCTTTTGAGAAGTCAAAATAAATTACGTCCACCGCGTCAACGTCATCAACTGTTCTTGTCCATTCTTCTCGTGCGATCAGCAAGTTGGTAGCGCAGGATCGCTTCTGTCGGAATCCATATTGATTTGGTGACAAAACATTGTGCTTCTCTAGGTGTTCCATCAGCGAATTTGCTACTATGGACTCCATGACTTTGGACAGCACAGGAAGGAGGGTTACAGGGCGGTAGTTAGCGGGATCGCTACGGCAACCACCTTTATAAATAGGTGAAATTACTCCCTGCTTCCATGACGGTGGTCATCGCGGCTCAGGCCACATTGGACAATGACATGCAGTTGCTGTGGTCGCATGTGGTGATCTTGCTTGCCGGTGACGAGGCGGAAACCGCTGTATCAATCCGGGTAAAAGCTGCCTTGCTGATTGGAAAATTTGGCCAGGATAACTCTCTGCGACCAGTGAAAGTTTTTTTTTCAGGCAGAGTAAGAAGCCAAGGTGATACTCCAGTGAACCTACAAGCCGAACGGAGCTCCGGTAAGGTTCCTTCGGGATCTTGATCCGAACCAGCGCAGTAAACTGAAAAATGCATTGGAGGAACTCACAGAGCGCCTTGCGAAAGGTGAGACTGATCTTTGTATACGGGATTTTCGGATGTCTCGAAAGCATCCTCAGCTGCGTTGGCTACCTTTGACCAGGGGAGGACGCAGGAGACTATTTAAACGTTGAAGAGATAACCACGCTGTACTAGTCTTGAAGAACGTCCGAGGGATACTAGGCAATAGGGATGAACTAGAAAACTGGGTTATACCAAACAAACCCAATCTCCTTGCAATCACTGAGACCTATCTGACACCAGATGTCCGGGATTCTGGAATATCACTCGACGGTTATACAGTGTTTCGAACCGATCGATCATCGTCACGTCACGG